TTATCGCTGTTTTCCTCCAGACCAGGATAGGTGGACAACAGAATCGTGTGGTCCTGCAGAAGCTGAAGCCCAACACTCTTTACACCATCACCCTGTCCTCCCTGTATCCTGATGTGAGTGGATGTCACGTGATGGGAAGACGCAAGACCAGTAAGTGAACCTGGACTCCTGTGGCTTTTTTAGTACCTATCATGGGGATGGAATCACATCTTCCATTGGAAACACTGGGGTGACATAGAGTTTTGCTAATCTTTTAAAATGCATGTTAATAATGCTCTCCATTGTTTTTGTTTGTTTTGTCTTTTTGGGAGAGTGGCAATAAGGTTTTCTTAATTTTTTAATGGAGGTACTGGGTATTGAACCCAAGACCTCGTGCATGCTAAGCATACTCTCTACCCCTGAGCTATACCCTCCACCCAAGATGTTAATTGATTTTTAATATCCTTAGTGGTCTTATCTGTCTCTGGTCTTGGAGAAAGGTGTTTATTACTTTTTAGGATAACACAGATGGAAAACAAACTATGCTCTGGGGCCAAAATACCTTGTGGAGGGATGAGACACGTACAAGATGATCACAGACCTTTTTTCCTCTATTTACTACTTTAGCAGGTATTTGGGGGGTGCCTACTACAGCGGTCCTGCTGTGTTCTAGGATTCCTGGGACCCCTCAGTAAACCTGGGCTTCGTGTGTGCTGATTTGTTAGGGTCACACGTGATGTGCTTTCTGTGCATTTCAGAACCTTTGAATACCATGAGGAACCTCAGAGTGTATGACCCTGCCACCAGCACTTTGAACGTTTGCTGGGACCATGCAGAGGGAAATCCTCATTGGTGCAAGCCTTTCTATGCACTAACAGCAGGTGGTCTGGAGGAGCTGGTCAGTATTCCCTGTAGGGAAAATTGTGTGTTAGTTTCAGCTGTAGATTACAAAGTGGAGATCAAGAGTTAGGCAACTTACCACAGCGCTGAATAAGTTCATGTTCCTTCAGTAGAACTTGACGGAGTGTAGTTTTTTGGGGTCTTAGAGCCTGGGTGACAGGGGCTTTGGGGTATTGGGGCTGGGGGATCGAATCATTCCAGGGACCTTTCAAGAAGGAGCTAGGCCGTGTGCAGAGAAGTCTTCATTGACTCTTAACAACAGTTTGTATGGGGGCACATCCTTGGGTCCCAATATTACAGAACCTGCTTCTTGACTTGGTCTTGTGTTAATGTTTTGAGTATTTTATTGGTTGAAGTATTATTTCTTGTACAAGTCTTTCAAATCAAGTACTTTACATTTTATTAAAATCTATAGGTGTCAATCCCTGGGAATCCGAATGATGCCATTCTTAGGAATCTGCAGCCAGATACCCCATACACCGTTACAGTGGTTCCCATTTATCCTGAGGGTGATGGAGGGCATCCAGCAGACACTGGGAGGACATGGAAGTAAGAAGGCAGAAAAATTTACTTTTTTCATGATGCATTTTGCTTTTCAGTATAAAGGCCATATAGGCCTGTTAAAGAAAATTTGGGACATTCATAATGATGGGAGAAAAATATAACAATTGCCCATAGTTTACCTCCCAGCTCTCATCAGTTAATATTTTAGTGTATGAAATAAAAAATGTGTAATGACGTTCTTCTGAAATGATAACCTTAGGATATATAAGTGTGTATACAGTTATCAGTATTCTCTTTGACTGACAAAAGTTAATGGGTTTTGCTTTGTGCTTGATAAATTTGAGTGAAGCAGTGTTTTGTCACTGGCTTTCAGTGTCAGTTGTTGAAATATATTGGTCACATTACCTGATAGCACATTTCCCTATTTGCTGATGAAGTACTTTTTGGCGTTGAAAATCTGTGTGCTTTCATTTGCTGTTAACATGTTGAGAAACCAGTTTAGAGTGGTTTTACAATTCTTTGTAGTATTGTTTAAAGGCTTTGGTGCATACCTCTAAATTTTTTTTTTTGGCTTAAAAATATACATGCTGATGGCTAAAAGAAAGCAAGTGTGGATGACTTCTTTTGGCAAAAGATTAGTAGTCTAGAAAAATGATGTTATTGGCTAAACCGGAGTTTGGGGTTAATACATGGATTTAATTTGCATGTCTTTCTAAGTCCCTATTTGGGCAGTTAATTGAGAACTGAGTGTATCTTTAATTTCTCCCTTTTTGCCTTTTCTTGAATCACAGAAGACATTCAGTGTCTGTCTGTTGAATGAGAAGAAATGAATGATTGAAACCGGCTAACCTAGCTGCCCGGATTAGATGGGCGTTCTTGGTGTTGTCAGTTCTCATTTAGAGGCACAGATGATAGAATCCTCTTGTCTCTCTCTCCATGACCTGTGCCGGAAAACTGAAGCTTATTTTCTGATTTCTTGCCCTTGTCCCTTGTTCTTTTATGGCCAGCCCAGTACTACTGCCTTTACTACCTTGTTTTTATTGGCACCAACTTAGCTTCCATAGAGACCAAGGCCCTAGTTGGCTAAGTTTGGCTAAATTTGTATTTGGAGAGTTTTCATCTGCTTTTGTGTGTAGACAATTCAAAGTTTAAGGAAATCAGTATTTCTCCTACTACAGGGCAGAAGTTTGGGGTAGGTGATAGCTTGACATGTGTAAATAGACGTAAGAAATATGTGTTGCCTTTTCTTTTCTCAGCAATGAGAGGACTGGCCAGAAATGTCCAAGTATACAGTCCACCAAACAGCCGGGATGTTGGCTGGATCACGCCCCTGGCCGGTGCCGCAGCACCGCATTGTGTGCACTCCCCTGGCTGGCACAAGACCCCCAGAACCTGTAAGTACTGTTGTCAGCTCAGAACTGGCAGAAGAATTTTGTAGATTTTACAGCGCCTCCTGCTGTGGTTGTGGCACAGGGCAGTAGATGAGTTGGTGTGGCCCTGGGTCACATGCACACTCATTTCCTGATGAACTTAGTCTCATGTTTGTGTCGTACTTGGCAGCCTGTGAGAACACAGGCCACAAACATGCCCACGTACAACGCTTAAGTGATTGCTTTTGATGAATTAAATTGTAAGGGTATCAACTGTAGGGTTAGTAAGCAAAAATGAATTTGGGGAAAATGCAAATTAGCTATATGTGAGTTAAAAAAAAACCCAGTAGTAAATCCAAATCATTCATAGACCCTGTCAATATGGGCTTTCATTGTAACACACACGTCTTTGTTAGGAGCCTACCTGAAAGTTTGCCTTCATTGGCTCTTAACAGATTGCTAATCTATCTTAGTACTATTCCATTCTCTAAGTAGATTAATAATACAGAGAGCAGAAATGACTAATTTGAGTAGGAAGAGTAATACAGGACAGAAATAGACTCATAGACAGAGAATACAGACTTGTGGTTACCAGGGGGTTAGAGGGTGGG